CATTTTTTTCTACTTTTATTAAAAATTATTGTTTAAAAAATTAATAAAAGTTAATAAAATCTAGTTGCATAATGTCAATAAAAACATTGACGTTTTATTAAAAAAACAAAAAAAAAATAAATCATAAAATAAATTAATCACACTAATGCCCAGTTTATAAAACGATTTATCGTTAGATAAATTTTATCAGTTTCATAATTATTATAGAAACACCAATCAGATCAGCGCTAACTATCGAACTATCGAATCGATAAAATTTATCAAATATTAAAATGTTCCAGAAATTAATACAGGGTGCGCCAGAACTCGCGCCCCAGAGAAAAATTTCAAGTAAGATAAGATACCAGGAACGTGGAAATAATTATTTTTTTCTCACCTTATATATATTTTTCTATGAAGCGCGAGTTCTGGCGCACCTGTATATTAGATGTTTTTCTGACTTGTTATAGATAATTATTATTTCTTATAAAAAATTTGAAAAAATATTGGCAGTATTTTCTTCCATTTGCTGCTTTTTGACATTACAATAATGGAATTGTCTCTTATTTGACACCATGCAACTTTTATTATTTTTTTATAATTTTGATATTTTTTAAAAGTAGTAATTTATTTCTAATAAAAGTAAAACATATTACACATGTCTGTATCTTCCAAACTATAAAAAAAAATCCAGGTGATTAAAGTATGACTTAAACTATTTATTTATTTGGAAAAACTAATTGATGAATGATAAAGTACTACAAAAATGTGTTGTTTTATTAAGAATACATTTTTTCGAAATTTTCTTTTGTTGTTGAGTTTTACAAATTTTTTTGTTTCTTTAAATAGCAACCATTTTTTTCATAAAGGTTATGATCTAAGGATTACAATTATCTACTTTATATTTGATTATTTTAGTATTTTTTTTTACATAAATTGCAATTTTGACTCAAAAATAAAGGAAAATTCCATTTTTAAAACACGATCACATTTTTTATAGCACTATTTTATTTTGACGGCAAATGATTAAAAAAAATCGCTTTATATTAAAAACCATGTAATTTATTTTTTTATTTTTGAAATCGGGTCATAAATAAAAATTCTATTGCGCTTGCCGAATCACCCTGGATTTCTCGGAATGATCTTTCTCAGTTCAACGACGCCCACTTCCCGGTTCTGGGCCTAATCGTAGAAACACCCACTTACCATTTAATTACCAATAAATTAGTCGGTATATGTTTGCACTTGAAAGTTTATTCGAATATTAGAGATTTAATGAAATTATTTAACCGTCCGGAAGATTTATTGTGTTTTGCCATTTATTGAATCATTTGAATCAATGGCAAAGTTGAAATTAATTATCTTAATTTGATTACGTGGAGATCAGTTTCCGTCACGTTAGTTCCAGACGATGTCATCCCAAATAAGGGAAAAGAGGTCGTAAATATGTTGTGAAATAATCCGAGTCATTGTTCCGTATATTATCATGTTTTATTTACAGTTGTTACATTGAGAATACATTGTTGAACACTGCTTTAACAAGTATGTAACATTGTTTGTTTAAATAATTTGTCTTTTTTCTTCACACTCTATGACAGGTAGTGTTATTAATAAGGCTCGGATTATATGCACGAAAAATTCGTAAAATATGCGCTTATATATGCACGCATTTTCACAAAAATATGCACAAAATATTAAGAAATATGCTCCAATATATGCCAAATATGCATCGATATGCAAAATTTTTAACAATAAAAAATCAAAGTTGGGATAAATTTTTATCCTCGAATACACTAAACTTTGTATTTTCGTCATCTTGAACTGCACACAATAAATTAAAGAATAAATAAATTGGTTTGGCGTGAGACAAGCCATTTTAATAACCTAGTAATTAACCCTTTCTAAAAAATCTGTACTTTTCAGATCACATCACGTTTTTTGCTTAAGTATTTATTTTTTGAAAAAACTAATTGATGAATTATAAAGTTCTATAGAAGTGTGATGTTTTATCAAAAATAAAAATTTTCAAAATTTTTATTTTTTTGTTTTTGAGTTCTACAAAAATATTTATTTTTTTAAATGGCAACCCAACAAAAAAAACATTTTTCTCATGAAGGTCAAGATCTAAGGGATTACAACTATCTACTTCATATTAAATTATTTTTTTACATACAGGGTGACCCTGGGGTTCGTGCACGCTCTGTAACTTTTTTTCTATACAAGTTACAAGTTATCCACATGATTTTTTTTAAAGGATAGATCCAACAATGAGGCACATTATAAAAATATTTCTATTCATATACGGAGTGTCCCAAATAAGATACACAATTAAGTTCCATTTTTTTTAATGAAAACCACAATTTTTTATTACATATCTAGATTCGCCACTAAATTGTCAATATAACGCACTTTGGTTCCTTAGACTTATCTGTAATAGTTTTTGACTTATGCCAATTTATGTGTCAAAATTGCATCGTGCATAGGACCCACAAAAAAATTCATAACTTCAAAACTATTTAAGACAACTTAACCAATTTTTTTCCAGACGATTTCCTAAGCTTTAGCACATCTTTTGAGAAAAAGGCAAACTCCGAGTCGATGTTCCATTGCCTACTACGATTGTTTGAAAATGACGAAATACAAATGACAATAACTTATTTTTTTAAAATACAACACTATATTTTATTGCTTCATTACATGTCATTTTTTATGAGCTTTTTGTCGATGTAAGGTTCATGGGGTTTACTTTGTAAAATTTGTACGATTTTTGCAAAATAAGAAATGTTGATGGTTTTTTCTAAATAGAAAGGAATCGAGTGGGCTGCTGTCGTAAAATTTGACACTTTCGTGTACTTTTAATAATTGTACACATCTAATTGTAATAATGAATTTCACTCGTGAAGAATTAGTGAATACGGTTTACTGTAATGGTGAAGATCACAGAAATCGTTTATTAGCAAGCAAAATGAATGAAAATTTTTACATTGTTTTCTGTTAATCATTCTTTCCTATTCTTGTAAAGATTGCTAAAATGGTTTTCTTTATTGTGATGTACTCCTGTTTCTATTACAATTTCATTTTATTGTAACACATTTTTTTCAGAATTGCATAGATGTGTCAAACGATAACGGCCTACTCGATTTCTTTTTTTCAGAAAAAAACCATCAACATTACTTATTTTGCAAATATCTCATAAATTTTACAAATTAGACCCCATAAATCCTATATCGACAAGGAGCTCATAAAAAATGCCATACAATGATACAATAAAATATAGAGTGTTGTATTTGAAAAAGTCGAGTTATTGCCATTTGTATTTTGTCATTTTCAAAAAATCGTAGTACACGATAGAACATCGACTCCAAGGTTGCCTTTATCTCAGAAGACGCGCTAAAGCTTAAGGAATCAACAGGAAAAAAGTTGGTTAAATTATCTTGAATAATTTTGAAGTTATGAATTTTTTTGTGGGTCTATGTACGATGTAATTTTGACACATAAATTGGCTTAAGTCAAAAACTATTGCAGGTAAGTCTAAAAAACCAAGGTACGTTATATTGACAATTTAGTGGCAAATCCAGATGTGTAATAAAAAATCGGGGTTTTCATTTAAAAAAACAGAACTTAGTTGTGTATCTTATTTGGGACAACCTGTATATGAATAAAAATATTTTTATAATGTGCCTCATTGTTGTATCTATCCTTAAAAAAAAAATCATGTCGATAACTTCGATAGAAAAAAAGTTGTTGAACATGCACGCACCCCTGGGTCACCCTGTATGTATATCGCAATTTAGACAACAAAAATCGAATAACTCAAAAACAAAACAAAATTTTGTTCTTAAAAAATCATTTTTTTATATTACTTTAATTTATATTAATTATTATTTTTTGGAAACAAATGATTTAAAAAAAAAACCGCTTGGTTCAATACTTTATTTTCACCCAGTATAAAAGAAATTTAAAAAGAAAACTCTCAGCAGGAAACTAATTTTTTGAGTTTGGCTTACGAATTACCGGTTGTTTTCTCTTTAAAATATTTTGTAATCCGATTATTTTTCTTAAACTGTCCAATTTTTAACTTGAACTGAAATCTTTAATCGGAAATTAGTGTTTTGAAGAAAATATGCACAAATATGCAATATTTCCTAAAATATGCACCAAGTTGCCAAAATATGCATTTTTTTTAGCTTATTTTAATCAAAAAAACATTAGATATGCATAGAAAACTTACAATTTTGTTGATATACCTCTTAATGTCAAATATGCATTTTGCAAATAATCCGAGCCTTAGTTATTAAATATTAGACATTGAATCTGATGGTTTCCTCAAGTCTCACATAAAAAATTACCTAACATTTTGGCTACAATAAACACAGCCTTTATTATCGGTCGCGATGAGAATGTACAAATGCTCGAATCAATAAATAAATAAACCGTTGTGCGTGATGAAACCTTATATTAAAATTATCCTAAAAGAGTTAAGTCGTTAATCTTTCCCTCTCCAAAAAAAACGAACAAGTAAATTTAAGTTATTTAAATGCTAGACGTCTAGATGTGGTCGCCGCCATCTCCGGCGAGGTTTCTTCGTCAGCCGCCGTACAAGCACATGGCCACTTTCAAAACCGACTTTTTGTCCAGGTACATTTGTGAGGATGATTTTTTGCGTTTACGTCACCTCGAATCGGAGGGATCGGCCCCGGGATCACTGTCGTCTCCGAGGGAGTTACCCTGTTGTTGGACGTTGTAACTTGGAGATCGGAATTGGCGGCCTTGGAGCTGCGAGCCGTCGGAACCTCGACGAGGGCCGCCGTCGCGACCCTTGCAGAAGCACTTGCAGATGATGCGCTTGAAGGCGAATCTGCAACGGAACGTAAAGGGATTACAAGCTTTTGAGCACAAACCAATTAATTTAGCAAATAATTGCAAAAATGGGTAAAAAAATTCGTAGTGTCTATTAGGTTTTGCCAAAGTTTTGAAAATGACAACAAAATTTGAAAAACGCTTGTCACAGTATAAAAATAAAAAAACACTTATTATTACTGAAAAACAAAAACCGTAATTACGAAAGATAAAAAAATGTTTTACATTTCTAAGAAATATATAAAGAATAGCTTTTTTATCAATTTTGAAGATAAAGCCGGGAGAGATGGACTTTGAACTTAGAACCTTTTTAGGCATTTTTAATTTTTTCCCAAAAAAACTGTTGAAGTAAACAATTCTTTTAACTATTTGATTAAAAAAAGCAGTTTTGCATTTATTTGTTTTAGATATTTTTTTCATTACGTTTCCAATTTTGAGCTTATTTATTATTAAAATTTTAACATAAAGTAATCTAGATTCTTAAAAAAACTAAAAATTTTATCTGGTATTAAAAAAAATTGTTAAAAATTTTAAAGTCATTCTGTATTCCTGTCCTGAAACCATTTTTTCCGAAATCGTCAGTTAAGTGTGTCAAATCGAGTTTTCATTATTAGTTTTGTCTGCTGTTTAGTTGAGTGTTTAGTTACCGAGGCGATAGCCGAGGCAAATAAAACACATTTATAATGAAAAACAAGATTTTAATGCTTTGTTACATAAATGACTATTATTTTAAGTTTTTTTCACACTTTTAACACCACCATTATTTACGATAATCTTGAATTTTTTATCTTAAACTGTTGAAATTCATTAATTTTTTTTTTATGTTTACAAACTTTCATATTTTAATTATGATTTTAAATTTTTTCATGCTGATATTTTTTTGTGTTGTAGCTTCTAGATATGCAGAGTTAAATAATACCCAAAACATATCTATTGTAAAATTTTGAAAAAATCCACCAAAAACATTAGTGGTTTCATTTAAATATTTTGAAATTTTTATAAATGTGTATAATTCCTGTATATTTTTTCATTTGAATTCTTTTATTTTTTATGCTATTTTATTTTAACAAAAGAGTTTCGCCAAGTTATTTATTTGATTGAGATTTTTTTTTAGTTTAAAACTTTGAAATATTTTTTTTTTCTAAATTAAGATTGTTGACTATTATTTTCAAAAAAAAATGTTGAAAACTTGTCATTTTAAATTTTAAATTTAAAACCTTCCTCTTTCGCCCCTGAAAACCACTTTATATTATTTTTTTAAATTTCTAGGCACCATATTATTTACGAGGATCTTGATTTTTTTGTTAAAATGTTTTTTTTTACATTAAAAAAATGATTTTTATCGTTTTTAACAAATATTTTTCTTAGGTTTCTAATCATAACTCATAGAAATCTTAACAAACAATAATTCCGTTTCATTTCTAAAAAAATTCACATTTTAAATGTAATTTTTAATTTTTTTTCAAATTTGGTAATTGTCGGTTCAAAATTTATCGAAAATAAAATTTGTAGCTTTATTTTAAAAACAAAATAAATTTAATTTGTTTAATTTTTATTGAATCAGGGTTTGAAATAAGTCTAATTATTTGTTACAATGTTGAAATTACTGTGTTGAAATTCTACCAGACTTTGATGGTTTCATTTAATTTTTGAAAGTTT